AAAAAAAAAAAAAAAAAAAAATTGATCATATTGCATTAGTAGTCATTTTTTATAGATATAAACCCATTTTGTTTATCTGCTTACTGTTGATATTATTTCCAAGGTTTAAATATTAAGTGTGCTTGGGGATCAGTGTTTGTAGCAGTAGAATTGCTGAATCATGGAAAGTACATGCTTAACTTTTGGGGGACATGGTTTGAGACACGGTTTCTCTGTATAGCTCCGACTGTCCTGGAACTTGCTCTACACACCAGGCTGGCTGCAAACTCACAGATCCACCTGCCTCTGCCTCCCAAGTGCTGTGATTAAGGGTGTGCACTACCATGTCTGGCACATGTTTAATTTTTTTTTTAATATTTTACTTAACTTTATGTGTTGCTGTGAAGGTATCAGATCCCCTGGAACTGGAGATACAGTTTGAGCTGCATGTGGGTGCTGGAAATTGAACTCGGATCCTTTGGAAGAACAACCAGTGTTCTTAACCACTGAGCCATCTTGCAAGCCCCCATGTTTAATTTTTTAAGATACCGCCAATCTATGTTCTAAAGTGGTTGTACATTTTACATTTCCAACAACATGTAAAGAAATTCATACTGCTTGCATTGGACAAACGTCCTACCTGTTTAGCTGGTCCTGTAAAATATTGTACTTAGAATTTGTGCCATTGAAGCATCACAGTGTAACACATTTCTTGAATGTGTGGTGATGCTGGTGTAAATAAACTTACTGCACATCTCTCACAAGAAAATGGAACACACGTAATTGTATACAGTACATAATACTTGATAATAGCAGTAATTGACTGTTACTGGCTCATACATTTTTAGACTATATTTTTATTGTTGTCTTATAGTATTCCTACATAGGTCCAGCAAGACGGCTTAGTAGAGAGTTATATGGCACAGCAGGTCTAAAGACTGGAGTTTGTGTCTGTGATGTTCTCTGGTGCTGACACACTTCTCACTTCACAGTGAATAAACTGGCTAAGCCTTTCTAGTAGGTGTGTATTGCTATTTTTCCTGGTTCTATTTTTAATTATACCCACTAAGACTGGCTACTTTGGCTTGGCTCAGAGGTAAACCAAGGCACTTTGTATATGCTAAGCATCCTTGACTCAGGAATTCAGAGCATCAAGGAAGAAAGGAGTGCAGGACAGTGGAAGGTAAGAAGAAATATCGAAGAAGGATACCCAGTCTTGGACTATAACAGTCTTTACTATAGAAGTGATTTTAACAATCCGAAATCTACTAGTAATTAATTTTTCTATGCTCCTATCCTTTTGTTTCTGCTTCTTTTGGGTCCTTTGTTATAAAACTATTGTTTTATAGGCAAGTTGGCACATGCCTGTAATCCCAATACTTTAAAAGCTAAAGCAGGAGTCTGAGCACAAAGCTAGCTTGGACTACACCATCTTTACAACTTTTAGTTTACAGTGTTGCTCAGTTTTAGAATTGAAAGTAAAACTAATTAAAATATTTAAATTACAATTTCATCATTTTGTTGTTTGTTTGTTTTTATATCCCGACAGTTCTTCCTCTTCCTCCTTTCCTCTAGTCCCTCTTCCTCCACCTCCCCCTTGCCATCACCCATCCACTCTTTCTCCTCCAGTAGGAGGAAAGGGTCCCAGAAGCAGGCAACAGAGTCAGAGACTCTGCTTCTACTGTTAGGAGACCCACAAGAAGACCACGCTATACAGCAATTAATAAATGGTGATGTGGGATTCCTCTCTGAATGATGTGAATATGTTTTTATTACCATTGGTTAACAAAGAAGCTGCTTTGCTCTCTGGAAGAGTAGGATAGAGCTAGGTGGGAAAACAATGCAGGGAGAAAGAAGGTGGGGTCAGAGAAATGCCACGTAGTTGCTGAAGGAGAAAGACACTGGAACCTTACCAGTAGGCCACAGCCTTGTGCTGATACATAGATTAATAGAAATGAATTAATTAAGTTGTGAATGCTAACTAGAAACATGTCTGAGCCATTGACCAAATAGTGTTGTAATTAATAGTTTTTGTGTGATTATTTGGGTCTGGGCAGCCAGGAAGCAAAACACAGTCTCCCATTACAAAATGGAACCTCATGAAACTAAAAAGCTTCTTTATGGCAAAGGGCACTATCAGAGAGACAAAATGGCAGCCTACAGAATGAAAAAAAGATTTTCACCAACCCTACATTTGACGGGGGGCTGGTATCTAAAAGATATAAAGAACTCAAGAAATTAGACATCAAAATACCAAATAATCCTATTTAAAATATGGGGTGGGCCGGGCGATGGTGGCGCACACCTTTAATCCCAGCACTTGGGAGGCAGAGGCAGGCAGATCTCTGTGAGTTCGAGACCAGCCTGGTCTACAGAGCTAGTTCCAGGACAGGCTCCAAAGCCACAGAGAAACCCTGTCTCGAAAAAACAAATATATATATATATATATATACATATATTCCCATTTATAGCCAGATTACAGTTGGAGAACAAAGGATACAGAATCTCAAAGAGCCTCATCTTGGGTTTGGGAACTGCCAGCTATAATACAGGCCTCTGGGTAATTTGATATGGCCTCTAAGTCCAAACAANATATATGGAGTATAGATCTAAACAGAGAATTCTCAATAGAAGAATCTCAAATGGCCGAAAGTCACTTACGGAAATGTTAAACATCCTTAGCCATGGGGGAATTCAAATCAGTGATTCTGAGACTCCATCTTACATCTGTCAGAATGGCCAAGATCAGAAACACAAGTGACACTTCATGCTGTTGGATATGGAGCAAGGGGAACACTCCTTCATTGCTGGTAGAAGTGCAGATTTGTCCAGCCATGATAGAAATCTGTATGGTTTCTCAGAAAATTGGGACTTGATCTACCATGATCCAGCTATCTCACTACTGGACATATACCTAAAGGACACTCCTTCATACCTCAAGGACACTGGCTCAGCTTTGTTCAAAGCAGCTTGTTTCATAACAGACAAAGTGGAAACAACTTAGATGTCCCTCAAGTGAAGAATGGATAAAGAAAATGTGGCGCATTTACCTGATAGTTATTACTCAGCTGTTATGATAACATAATTTCATTCCTTTGACAAGGTTTTCATTACAAATTAAATTTTATTAACACATAAAGCTCTTTAGATATTTTTTTCTCACCCTTTGCTAATTGCAGTCAATTTGGTTTTTCCATTTATTCGCCTTTCTGATTTCTTGGCAGGAAGTTGGTCAGGGTAGGAGTCAGAGGGGATGGAGAACGCCAGGAGAGCATGGCCCCCTGAATCAACTAAATAGGGCTCAAATGGGTTCCCAGAGTCTGAAATGGCAAGCACAGGCCTGCATGGGTCCACATCCGGTCCTGTGTGTGTGTGTGTGTTATGGCTGCTAGCTTGGAATTTTTGTGCTGTTCCTAACAGTGGAGTGGGTGCATCTATGACTCTTTTGTGATGTTCCTAACAGTGGAGCAGGTGTACCTATGACTCTTTTGTGATGTTTCTAACAGTGGGAGTGGGTGTATCTATGACTCTTTCGCGTGCTCTTGATATTCTTTTCCTCCTAATGCCTCCAAAAACATACTTTGAAGGTTACAAATAAGGGTGGTATTAAAAGATGGATAAAGATTCCCGGGATAGAAAAAGGTTCATTTGTTGAAATTGAGTTCCCAGCAGCCATGCTGGGTGGCTAACAACCATCTGTAACTCCAGCTTTAAGGGATCCACTGCCTCTAGTGTCCACAGGCACCTACTTGTACTCGGTGCACTTATCTATACATAGATGCACATAATTAAAAATATTATAATGCATAGGGTGAACTTCTAATTGGTTCCAAGCAAGATACTTGTGTCTCTTGAGTATTTCCTTATTCACCTTCCTGAGAGCCATCTCATATTCTATCTAGTGTGCAGTCTCTTTCTAATCTGAGTTTTTTTAAAAATATTTATTTATTTATTATGTATACAATATTCTGTCTGTGTGTATGCCTGCTGGCCAGAAGAGGGCACCAGACCCCATTACAGATGGTTGTGAGCCACCATGTGGTTGCTGGGAATTGAACTCAGGACCTTTGGAAGAGCAGGCAATGCTCTTAACCACTGAGCCATCTCTCCAGCCCCTGAGTTTTTAATGAAAGCTTCAGAACTTCATTGCATAAGCCTGAGAGTAAGTAAATCACAAGTTGGTCTTCTACCTGTTCAGACTGGCTTCAGGAACCGGGGATCAAGAATCCAGAGTCTCATGAATGTGGGCACACACACACAAATATTAAAGAAAAAGTCAACTTTTGGCTCTTTAAATTTCTCGATTTTTTTTCTTTCTTCTTTGTCATTTAGTTTAAACCCAAATACTGCAAAAGTAAGAAGGACTATTTTATTTGGAATCTCAAGAATGGCAGTTCAGGAAACATGGATGTAGATGATTGTTTGTTTGGTTTTTTTCGAAACAGGGTTTCTCTGTAGCTTTGGAGCCTGTCCTGGAACCACCACTACCTGGCTGATGTTGATGATTCTTAACCAGTGTTCTGGCGATAGGTGGAAATGTTTATGTGCAAACACTATTGATTTATTACATGGCAAAAACCACTGGGCTGTGATGTGCACCTTGTTTTGTTTTTTGAGACAGGGTTTCTCTGTGTGACAGTCCTGTCCTGTATACCAGGCTGGCCTTGAACTCGCTGAGATCTCCCTGCCTCTGCCTCCCAAGTGCTGGGATTGAAGGTCTGCACCACCACTGCCTGTCTGCGTGGTACATGCCTTTCATCCCAGTACTGGGAGGCAAAGGCAGGCAGATCTCAGAGTTCCAGGACAGTCAGGGCTACACAGAGAAACATCTCAAAGCCAGGCGGTGTTGGCGCACGGCTTTAATCCTGGGATTTGAGAGGCAGGTGGATTTCTGTGAGTTTGAGGCCTGCCTGGTCTTCAGAGAGACTTCCAGGATAGACTCTAAAGCTAAACAGAGAAACTGTGTCTAGAAAAAAAAACAAAACAAACCATTCTCTGGGCACACTTCTGAAACTGAGAACAGATAAAGGGGACAGGGGTCGTTTTGTCAATAAAAGAAGTAATTAGTGAAAACAAAAATGTCCAAGTAGCTTCTAAAGGTGGATTTCAGGGCCCAGTTTCTTTATCACCACAGAGGCCTGGGTTCCAGGGTTTGCTTTGAGTAGCTGCTGAAGGGCTTCTGAAAAGCTCATTAAACATTTTTTTTTTTATCATGAGCAATCCTCCCTGCTTTGACTTTTATTTTTATTTAATTTACATTTTTCACTTATTTTACCTACTGACCAGTTTCCCCTTCCTCCTCTCTGTCTTGTTCCCTCCCCTACCTCCCATCTATCCCCCTCCCAGTCCACTCCTCCTCTGTCCGTCTTTTGTTCATATTATATTGGTTCCTTCCATTTCTTTAAGGTTTTGTTGTGGGTTTTTAAAGATGGGGGTCTTTTAAAAAAATAACATAAGGATAGGCCTCAAACTAGATCCTTTTGCCTCAGCCTTTCCAATAGCTGGGGTCACAGGCATGTACTAGCACATCCAGCATAATTTTTTGCTTTTTTTCTTTAACCTTTGTAGCTATATACCTCTTTGCTCTGTGTGTGTGGGTGTAGGTGTGCTTGCAATTTTGATTGGTGCCTTGTGTGCATGCCTACTAGGAAAGTCATCTGCCGCTAAGCTGCATCAGCCCAGCCCCTTTTTGCATTTTGCTGTAGTGATTGGGATTATAATATTTAACACATACTCAGTTTTCAGAAACTCACCCCACATATTTATTTGTGAGGTAGAAGAGGGACACACATTCCACAGCACACTTAGGAGGTCAGAGGGTAACTTAGGAGTTATTTTCCTCTTCTACCATATGAGTTTTGTCAGGTGGCTCTGAGATGGCTTAGAGGTTAAGAGCACTGACTGCTCTTCCAGAGGACCCTGGTTCAATTCCCGGCACCCACATGGCAGCTCACAAATGTAACTCCAGTTCCAGGGGCTCCGACACTCCACACAGACATACATGCAAAAACAACACCAATGTACGTAAAAAAAAAAATCAAAATGAGTTTTGTCAGGATGACAGCGGTGCCTTTATCCACTGAGTATCTTGCTGACCGGTTTTCAATTTTTCTTCATATTTTCCTTTATCTTCTTTTGTAGATTAATCTAACATGGCTGACCAGAGGCAGCGCTCACTCTCTACCTCCGGGGAATCATTATATCATGTTCTTGGGCTAGACAAGAATGCAACCTCGGATGACATTAAAAAGTCCTACCGGTAAGCAGCTGTGTTTTAAGGAAAAACACAAATCTTCATCTGCTTTCTTGTATACTTTCCCCAAGAACCATAACATACATTTTTCTTGACAGACTTTTTTTTTCTTCGTCTTTCCCCCAAGACAGGTTTCTCTGTGTAGCCCTGGCTAGATCAGGCTAGCCTTGAACTCGGATATCTGCCTGCCTCTGCCTCCCGAGTGCTGGGATCAAAATGTTTAATCCTAACACTTGGGAGGCAGAGGCAAAAAGGGTATCTGTGGGGTGTTTTTGTTTTGTTTTGTTTGTTTTGGTTTTGGTTTTACGAGACAGAGTTCCTCTGTAGCTTTGGAGCCTGTCCTGTAGACAGGCTGGCCTGAACTCCCAGAGGTCCGCCTGCCTCTGCCTCCCGAGTGCTGGGATTAAAGGCCACTACGCCCAGCAAGGTCTTTTTTTTCCTATCCTGTTGTGACTGACTGGATTTGAAGAATGTAGCTTTTAGGTACAATATTATACGGAAACCTGAAGGGGGCAGGGGACTCTCCACCTCAGGTATTCCTGTGGTCGTCTACTTGTGTTGGACTAGAATGTCATCAGTGTACACTCCTGCCATCACTGTTAATCAGATCTGCAGTTAGCTGGTCGGGACACCAGGGGTTAACAGTAGGATTTCCCTATAAGCTGTGCCCCTACCCTAGTACCTCAGGAACCCTTGTACATGAATCCTAGTGGGGGGAGGCTTACCCCAAAGCAATTACAGAGACTTCTTTTCACTCTAATGAGCCAGATCTCTGGAAAGCTGAAAATTGAAATGCTAAAGGGTAAGCATCTCTTCCCCTGGACTCTGATGGATGAATGTGAGACCAAGGTAGAGCCAGGAAATGGTTTTGGTTACAGGAAGCTGGCCCTGAAATACCACCCTGACAAGAACCCTGATAACCCAGAGGCTGCAGACAAGTTTAAGGAGATTAACAACGCCCACGCCATCCTGACAGATGCCACGAAAAGAAACATATATGACAAGTACGGCTCGCTGGGGCTCTATGTGGCCGAGCAATTTGGGGAAGAGAACGTCAACACCTACTTCGTACTCTCCAGCTGGTGGGCCAAGGTGAGGATGGGGTGGCAGTCAGTGTGAGCTGCTACCCCGAAGGCATTGAAAACTCTAGTGCTTAGTAGGACTGCAGGCACCGAAAGATCTGTGTCTCCTTTTTCTTGACACGGTTTCTGGTCGAGCTGTCCTGCGTGTACTGTGCAACTGTCAGCCATGTACAAAGTCAGAGTGAACTATGCCGTAACCCTTAGGTTTAGGAAGCCTGATTTTGGCTTTAGTGGTTAGTCTTCAATATTTATAGTTTTAGAGAGAAATCCATTGTAGAGGGGAATTTAAGAGGGAGCGAGCTATGCCATTTGAGGAGGTATGGAAGTCAGCTACATACCAGCAGACAAACTGCATTACAGAAAGTTGGGAGTAAGACTTCAGAGAAAGAGTAAGAAAGCCCAAAATACCAGAGAAAGCATACTTAGGTTCTGGCCAACATCTGAATTAAAGAGGGGGGGGGAGACACAAAAGGGAAAATTAAACCTTTTTGAGTTCAGAAAGGCAGGCAAATTCAATAGAACTTCATGGCAGCTTGTGCTCAGTCCCCTCTTTACAAATTACTTATTATTCTATTTTTCCTGCCTTCTCCCTGCAAGTTTACTCTGTCTACACCTTCTCCTGAAAGCTAGACACCTTAGCATTAGCTGTCTATTCTGCAGTTCTTGTCCTGTTTTCTCTGTGGGGTTCTTGTGTTATGGCCTCTGGGCCTTTGAGGCTGTACAGTGCTGGTTTTCTCTTTCCCAGGCCCTGTTTGTTGTCTGTGGCCTCCTCACCTGCTGCTACTGCTGCTGCTGTTTGTGCTGTTGCTTTAACTGCTGCTGTGGGAAATGCAAGCCCAAGGCACCTGAGGGTGAAGAGACGGAGTTCTACGTATCGCCTGAAGACCTGGAGGCCCAGCTGCAGTCTGATGAGAGGGGTGAGTGCCCACCCCTGGACCCTGTGAGTGTGGGGTGGAGTCAGCACTGGCCCTGAACGGTGTCAACTGTCTTGTCAAACAGGAGGGCACTGACACTGTGCCGAGAGTGTTTGTGGTGGCATCTGGGACTGTTGAGGTGTGAACGTGGACACTTGAGGTAAAGCAGGTGCAGGGAGCTGTTCCTGCCCGTGAACTGTGGTAGCCGTAGATCTGAGGGACCAAAGGTGGGGAGGGTGACAGGCAGGTGGGGAGGGCCGGGGGCTGGTGTGACCTGAGGAAAGTGTGTTGGGTGGAGGTCTGCAAGTAGCCTCTCCCGAGTGTCTGTCCAGGTGGCCGAATGATGTAATGCAAGGACCATGTCGGTGGGCACACAATACGGCTGCTGCCCTTGTGCGATGAGGCTGCCTGCTTACTTTTCAGAGGCTACAGACACACCGATTGTCATACAGCCAGCATCCGCCACAGAGACCACCCAGCTGACGGCTGACTCCCACCCCAGCTACCACACCGACGGGTTCAACTAAATTCAGGAGAGGCTGTGATTAGAGGACGAATCAGCACCTGGCCACTGCAACCTTAGAATCATGAACTGTAGTCACTGAGATGGGGAGGCAGCCGTCAACCTGACCTGCTGTGGCTTGTCAGGGCCCCTCCCACCTCCTCTAAGCCCACCCATCTGTCAATCCTTGATACACGAAGTGCGTAGCATGCAGTATTTAAAGCAGTGTAGCTACGGTCTTCTTCTGTTTTATCCTTTTGTTTAATAGCATGTATGGGTTATGTTCAGTGTCTGTGTTGTGGATGCGCTGCAGCTGGGCTGAATTAACTGGATGGCAGTGCTGTCTTGGGTTTTCAGCTGGGTCCAGTGAGGTTCAGCTGTCTCCTTGTGCTTACAGGAGTCAGGTAGGCACCTGGAGCTACATCTCCATGTTGGCCTCTGTGTCCTGTGACATGGTCTAGTTCATGGCTCTGATCTCATCCTCAAGGCTGCAGACAGGGTTCTGATTTCACCTGCGAAGGAGGGAGCTGGGCCCCATCCTCCCGGCAGCTCCAGCACCAGTCGTTGTGGAGAGCGCAGGTATGCCCTTCTGAAAGGGAGAGCACACCTGTTAGACCTGCTGTGGAGAGCGCAGGTGTGCCCTTCTGAAAGGGAGCTCACACGCTGTAGTGTGTCTGTCTTGGGTCTCCTGGCCTTGTGGACTGAAATCCTGTCATTGGAGGCAGATCCCTTGCTGGTGTGTGGGAAATCATTTGTCTCTGTTCTGCACCTTTCCAGGTCAAAAGCTGGATTGACGGGGCCACAGCCTCTTTTCCTCATTCCTGGGTCATCTTCCACATTCCTTCAAGCCAACCTTGTTAATTTTTATATTTTGGGGGGACTTTAAGAACCACAAATGGTAGCACCTGCCACTTAGCCATAGTCAGAAAGTCTTTGAGTCCAGTTGTGGGTGGCATGTAGCTGCTTATAAAGAGTGAGTGCCCAGGATCAGAACCTCTTCCCTGTGCTTGCCAGAGCTCCATCCATCCCACTTGCCTTCGCTTCCACCTGTCGTCATCAAGGCCTCCGGCAGTGCTGGAGTGTTGGGTTCCTGGTGCCCCTGACTCGGAAGGGTTGACTTTTAGGGAAGCTTTGGTGACAGTTACTGGACCTGGGATGCCAGCTGCAAGCCACAGAATTACTTTGTGAACTTCTCTCCAGTCAGTATTCCAGTCTTGGTCACAGGTACCATGGTGGGCAGAGTTGGAAAATGTGGTTACCAGGGATTTCGAACCACCCTCCCCTTTTACAGTTAGCTGGATTAGCTGTGCCAGACTTCAGTGAGCCAGGTTCCTCCAGAACCTTCTGCTGGCTGCTACTGTCCGCATTTCCAGTACAGAGGAAGAAGGAGAAAGCTCATGTTGTGGCCCAGACAAACCACCATGTGTTTCCAAAGCCACCATCCACCTCCTGGCCCCTGCTCACCAGGACCTTCAGGAATCAGATCAGGTTGACAGGAAGTTGCAAGAGGTAGCATTGTGAGGGCAAACTTGGCAGTGATTGAGGGTGCCTATCCAGGTCCTGGGAGAGAGACATTGATGCCAGGGTTCCCAGCTGACCCTACAGGGAAACTACATGAGCCAGAAGCTGGCTTCAAAGTCCTACTATGGGTTTGTAAGTTTGTTTTATTCTTTATAGGATTTTAGGGATATTCATTATCATACTGAGTTAGAAATAATTTGTAAACATCAGACCTATGGCTACATGTAGTGGGACTTGCCTGTAATCCCAGCACTAGGGAGGCTGAGGTAGAAAGACCTTGAGTTGCAGGCCAGTCTGGGTTTTATACGGTAAGACCCCTACTCAAATAAATTTAGTAGAAGAATGAGAAATTGGCGGGGCGGTGGTGGCGCACCTTTAATCCCAGCACTCCAGAAGCAGAGGCAAGCAGATCTCTGAGTTCTAGGCCAGCCTGGTCTACAGAATGAATTTCAGGACAGCCAGAAATGTTACACAGAGAAAGCCTGTCTCCAAAAAACCAAACAAAAACCGAGAAATTCATTGCTGGGTCTATTATTAGAACAAAGGAAGAAGAGGCCACTGGGCAATCTGGGGTGCTGGTCCCATCACCCTAGTGTTGTTGCCCTTTCATCATGATGGCCAGGAACCAGGTTATGAGTAGAAAGCTGCAGTCTGGTAGCACGTCCTCCTGCCTGTGGCTCTGTGGCCCTTTCTCTTGCATCCCAGTGAGCCAGGTGCTGTTGGGTGAGAACACAGAGGTCGAACCTGGTATCTTTTTGAATTTGTAAAGCTAAGTAAATCATGTTGAACTTAAAACCATCAATATGTGCAACAGTTTCAAGGTGATAATAGTGATTGTCAAGGCCACTGAACTCCCTGACCTATCCCTGAACGCAGACTCCCTTGCAGGGTTTTGCTGAGTTGATCTAAAGTCTCCTTGATTTCATTTGCCCTGACCTAAGCATAACTGGTGAGTCTTAGGATCAGCCTGACTCTTCCTGACCAAATACTATCAAATGTAGAGAAGTTCATCCAGTGCAGTGGATGCCCCTGAAGAACCAGACCCCGGGGACCCATCTCACCAGGCTAGAGTAGATTTCTGTTTGTGCCCAATGATGTCTTTCCTTGTCTTCCTTTTGACTGTGTTTTTAAATTACTTTAGATAATTCTGTGCAATGTTTATAACCTTTCCTAGTCTTCTGATGTTCAGTTAACACAGCCAGCACCCAATGGGGGACCTGTTAGGAAAAGAAATCAGTGCTTAATGTGGTTAGCAGGAAACTTTCCCAAAATTGTTGGTTACTGGGTTTGTTCCCGAATCATAAAGCCAAGTCTCTTCTCAGATGTTCAGGTGCCAGGTTTTACTAATCCCAGTGCCCCTTGTCCTGCTGACCCATGACTTTTATTCCAGGTAAATCTTGTGCAAAGAAGCTGCCGTTGTTGCAGCTGATAGTCTCCATCATTCAAGCTTTCCCTGGAGAGTCTAGGTGCTGTGGTACGGAGAACTGGTGGGCCATGACCATCTTCCTTGGCTTTCTGTGCACCTTTTATTGAAGGATAGCTGTGAACAGTGTAAAACATGTCTGATCTCATTCTTTTCCCAGGGTTTTGAGCTGTGAACCCATGTGTCCCAGCACTGGCCTGTTCTTTTTATTTTGGTTCAGTTTCCTCCTACAGAAATAGCAAAAGCTACATCTTTACTATCCTCACAAGCACAGTATGTGTTGTCACATGCTGTGAGTGTGGGCTGTGGTGTGTGTTGGTGTGTGTACATATGTGTATATGTATATATCATGCAGCAGGCCTGTCATGCTGCTGTTTGGTGGCAAAGCAACAAGTACAATAAAAGTCGGCTCCAAAACAGCCTGTGGTTTCTTAAAGTGTTGGGCAGGGGTAGGGTCTCTTGGCAAAACACCAAAGGAAACCCTAAACTTACTATGTACATACAGGTACATGTACTTGAATGCACTGCACTGCATAGGCCCTGGCCAGCATTTGGCTTCAGCTGTGTATGTTGGTCACAAGGGTGACCATACCAAATATATCCCTCGGGACCATGCCAAGCTCACCTGATCATCGAATATATGAGGTCTAGGACCTAACTAGAAGCTTTCCTCTCTTGAAACACTAAAACCAATTTATGAGTACCTGTTGAGATCAGTAATCAAGGTGCACGCAGAGGACAGCCTGGGAAGGGGCTTTCTGTGTCCAGTGCCCCATAGGCTGTGCTGCTGGGAGATAGTTTTCTAGGGAAGTGTCTCATGCTAAGTTGGAGGAAGAAATTTTAATTTAAAGACAATTTTTTTAAGAGCTGAATGTAAGTGCATGGAAAGCCTGTACCAGTTTTACCCATTTACTGAAGTCTGGATAGAGCAGAGCACAAGCTGCTGTCGGCCCAGGCTACCTGACTTTGGTGTGCCTCCAGGGGCCAAGCTGAAAGCTGTGGTGGTTCCGCATGGTGACCTGTCTAAATGTTGACCTAAAATAAATGTTTTCACTGCAGACCAGATGTGTGTCTTATTAGTGATTCCTGCCTAATTCTGTTCATGAATTTGGCATTGAAATGGCACCTGATGTTAGCCCCTGCTGGGTCCCCTGTGGGCTGAGGCCTCATTTCCACTTTTCTGATCTAGCTGTGAATACCCCTCCTCAGTTCTGACACCTCATTTCTAAATGCTTTGTCCAGAATAAAGAATTTGTTAGTCCTGCATGCCTTTAATCCCTGCTAAGGCAGCTGGATTTTGTACACATATGTATATTGGTTTGATTTGTTCTCCGGAACCAATCATCCTGGTTGGACTTGGGTAGAACCCTCCTAGGAAGGACCTGGTTTCTATCCAGGTTCTCACAGTATTCCTAAATTCTTCCTCTGGGTAAACCTGGCTGGAAAGAATAATCTATCTTCAGTTTTCTAGCATAAAGTGCAGGAGAGCCTGGAGACATGGGATAGGCTCTACTTACCATGTTACAAGAAGGTGCTCCTGACCTCTGCTTTCGTCCTCTGTCACTAGTGCCTGGCTGCCCCTTGAACAGACCGCTCACCTTATCTCCCCACCATTGTAAGATCACCTCTACTCAGCAACTTCCCGTCCCCAACTCGTTACAAGTAGGAAAAAGGCACACACCAAACGAATAGGGCTTTTGGGGGAGCCTGTCGGGTTCCTAGCCTGTCACAGCCCATATCAAGTAGCTGTCAGTATGCACTTGTCTGTCATCTCACTGGGATAGAGTCATCATGACAGCAAGATGCCTAGCAGTTTCCAGAGAAGCTTGTCTTACCCTCTAGAGTCTAGTAGCAGCAAGGTGGGGCCAGACATGAGACTCTGGTTCTGAGAACCTGAGGCTCTGACCATCTTTAAGCTGGGTTTTCTTCCATGGCTCAGTCCTTGCCATAGCCGCCCACACCCACTAGTTTCTTCTGGTAATGTAAATGTTGGGAGGAAATGGTCACAAAGGCTGCCTCCTATATAGACACTTAGAATCTTAGGTCGCCCTGTCTCTGGGTCCGAGTCAGGTGGGTATCTGAGCTGTGTGGTTCATTTAGAGACTCTACTTATCCCCATCAGGCAATGAATGAACTTCAATCTTAAGGAAAGCAGGATGCAGGGATAAGAATACCTTGTCCCTTGGACAGAAGCTAGACCTCATTCTCAACTTCTTATGGTTTCTATTGCTGTGCAGAGACCATGACCACAGCAACTCATAAAGGAAACCATTTAATTGAGGCTGGCTTATAGTTCAGAGGTTTAGTCCCTTATCATCATGGCGGGAAACATGGCAGCGTGCAGGCAGACACGGTGCTGGAGAAGATGCTGAGAGTTCTACATCTTGTTCTGCAGGCAGCAGAAGGAACCTGTGTACTGGGCGTGGTTTGAGCATATATGAGACCTCAAAGCCCACCCCCACAATGACACTTTCCAACAAGGCCACACCTAATATTGCCACTCCCTGTGGGCTAAGCATTCAAACACATGAATCTATGGGGGTTAAACCTAATCAAACTACTACAAACACCTTGGGGAGACTGCCTCAGTGGAGCCCACCCAGAATACATTCTGCTACACCTTCATTTTTCTAAAGCTTTATTTATTTTGTAAACTGAGTATCATTGGTAACATTTTTAAATTCAAATAAGTTAATGTGTTGTCTCTGCAATCTGGATAGAAATGAGAGTAGCTCCGACTGGGAACTAACCCACAGAGGCTGTCTCTTCCTCATCACTGCCATCAGGAACCGCATCTGTCCCAAAGTAGCGATCGCCAAAATTCCCTGCAAAAAGAAATGGCCTTGTGTGACTGGGTCCTCCTAGATCATCAGCCATGCCCCTGGACTATGACAGCCTCACCGATGCCTGGGATGATACGGAAAAGGTCATTGACACGCTTGTCCACAGCTGTGGTGATAATCCTCACACGTGGAAATGCATAGGCCACAGAGTGCACACCCATCTCTGCCATGAGCAGGGATAGCAAGAAGATCTTGTCTTCGGGCACATCATGGTCCTGTGTAGCATGGGAACAGGGTAAGTTCCAACACCAAGGGAACCACCTGCAGCCCATTCAGGTCCACTTACCAGGAGCACACGTACAGCCATCATGGCTGCGGCTCCTGTGGATACTGTGCAGTCCATCAGGATCACGTGGTCATCACTAATATCCTTGGGAAGTCTTAGGTAGTGGAGCTGTAAATGGTCGTAAGGTCAGAGTAGGGCCCCACTCTCCCCATGGGCTGGACATCACTGTAACACCCTTCCCAGCCCTCCCTGGCTGGACACCTCAGGCTCCCCTGTGAGCTGGTTGGTCTGGATGAGGATAGTGCCGATGCGCACATCCTTGCACACGGCACGCAGCGCAGGCTCCATGGTTTCCCCTGCTCGCAGAATGGACACGCCGGTGATCTAGCAGGGAATAGAGGCTGAGTGGGCTGCAAGCAAGATGCCTCAGCCCACAGCCTCCTACCCCAGCAGCTACTGCCCTTACCTGCTTTCCAGCATAGCATTTCCCCACGTAGTCCTGCCCCTGTGGGGTCTGTACAGTGCAGTCCTACATAGGGAGGTGGGGTATCTATGAACAGCCAGAGCTGAGCACCCCCCCCCCATCGTAAGCCCACCAGGATGGCCGGACACCTTCCGCCCATTCTCCCACAAACCCACACCTGGAAGGGTAGGAAGGACAGTGCATGTTCAATAAGCAGCCGCATCAATCTTTTCGAGTAGAAAATGAATTCATCCCGGCTAGTCTCCTTGTCCCTGATGGTGGAATAAGGAAGCTTTAGAACAGGATGGACCAGAACCTGGGAGGGGGGAGGAGGATGACGACAGAATTGGAGGTAGCACTCCATAGGTGGGTCTTTACCTGATGATGGTGTGCATGCCTCGTACCTGTGGTGTACTCTTGAGGACACTCAGTGTCTGGGGAAGGGGATGGCACTGGTGGGCTGAGGCCAACGCAGCCCTAGAGATACAAATTGATTGGAATATTTTATCCAAAAGTCCCTTTCTAACCCAGAGGACATCTGAACATCACTGTGGGGACGGGCATGTGCAGGGTGGGAGCTGTCTGCTGGCTATGGCTGACCCAAGAAAAATGCCTTGTCCCCTAAAATGCCAGGCAAAAGTGAGAATGCTCAATTCTGAACATGGAACACACTCTCAGTGAGGCGAATGCTGGGGGGCTGAGGCATGAGGTGTCCCCTCCTAGACTCAGATAAAGTAGAGAGGTCAGACATAGGGAAGAAAGGAGCTTACTGTGGGAACAGATCTCAGCCTCCAAATGGACAGCTTGTCCCCAACTTCTCCTGGGAGCAACATGTAAGCTGTAGGGCCAAGCTCCACTCAGATCCATCCCCCAAGTAGTGTGCAGTCCCTCGGGAGGGAGGGCAAAGCAAGGAGGGCTCGGTGCCAAAGGCTACCCCACCCAAAACCCAAGCCTGGAGAGGGAAGGGCCAAGGACTTGTCAGAGGCAGGAGGGCAGGCTGGTTAGGGGGAAAGGTACAAACAGTGATCTTGGAAGGGAGGGGTCACTGAAGTACAAAGTGCAGGAGCAGTGCAGGGCGTGGGCAGCACACAGCGCGGCACAATCAGAGCTTGCTCTGCTCACATATCCCAACGCAGCTTCCTCTGCTCGCCAGGTGAAGAGCGTGTTCAGGGAGGGAACAAGGCAGGAAACAGGTTTACAAAGAGGAAAAGAACAGAGAGAAGAACACTTAGTGGGAGATCAGCCAAGCCCCTGCAGAAGGTAGCCTGTGGGCCACCAGCTGGCTGAAGACTTGAGGCAGGAGGCTGGCAGCTGTCTTGGCACTGACATCCTTGGTGCCTGAGGGGAGAGCACCACCTACACCCAGATGTTTTTCCCTTCTGCTCACCAGTAACTTCCCGGAGTTGGAGGAGACCAAGGGGGTCAGCCGCCACTTCCTTGGCTGACCAAAAAAAATGGAAAGTGGAGCTGGCTGTGCCTGGAGATTTTTCCCAGAATTGAGGCTTTGTAAGGGCCCTGGCACAGGTCTGTGGCACCCTGGTCTTGGTGAGGCCAAGTGGAGACTCATGCAAGGACAGGAAGCAGGGCTGTTTAGAAGGTTCTAGAGGCATTTCCAACACTGGCTTAGAACTCCTGGGGCATCCAGTGGGACACAGTGGCTCAACGGGCTCTTCCCAACTCTGAGGAAAGCCTGGAGGAAGGGTAGGTCCCTGGTGCTACCTATGACTCTTGCCTAGGCTTTGATCAGCAGTGGATGATAACGGCATAACAGCCTATCCCAGCTTCATGCTGCAATTGCTCCTTCTGCCTGAGTTGTGCTACAGCTTGAAGACTAAGCTAGGATAGGGCAGGGCCTAGGTGGAGAAGGCAGAGCCAAACCCTCACTCCCCACTCCCCAGGGAGAGTCAAGGGAGCCTATGGCCCATTGTACGGTTCATTTTACAAGATACATCAGCCTAGATGCACAGCCAGGCTTTATGGTCGCAGAGACATGTCAGTGTGGTCCCTGTCTTGGATCATGAATGGCAGTGCTGTTCCAGGAGAACAGCTTTGTTCTCTGTGGCTGGACCCCAAGTTAGGCTGTATGGGAAAAAAGCCTCCATGACACATCTGGCCAGGACAGGTAAAACATAACCCTGAGAAAGGCCAGGCGGTGGTGGCATGTGCCTTTAATTTCAGCATTCCAGAGGCAGAAGCAGGTGGATCTTGAGTTTGAGGCCAGCCTGGTCTAAAGTGAATTCCAGGACTACATAGAGAAAACCCATCTTGAGAAAACAAAACAATCCCCCCACCACCACCACCAAAAAAACCCAAAACCAAACAAACAGAAAAAACCTGGGGAAAAGTCCTTAATTTCTTTGTACCTTAGTGTTCTTATCTGCCTGCAGGGGAGCAGCAGCAAGGTTGCTTACCACTCTACCCCTGTGGTATGGACTGACTGACTGCTCGGCTAGGTGACAGCCGACCCGGAGTTCTATGAAGATGTTGGAAATGCCTCCAAATCTGCAGAGTTGTGGAGTCTTACCTGA